TATGAATTATTTTATGAGGGAAGTTTGCCATATCAAATGTATTTGTCAAATTAAAATAACAGCACTAAGGAGACTGATGCTCTAACCTGGGTGCCTCTCCCTCACTAAATATCAACCTGTACACTGTACAAGTGTTACAATTGACAAATCCACAAAACACTTTTGTTTCATGTGTTTTTTTTGTATACCGGGAGCATGTAGATATCGGGTACTCAAGTGCTGGAAGTCCGGTACACTCTTTTATTCTTTGTCATTAGCAGCAGCCTTGACTATGTGCTTGAATTAGCACACTTTACTTTCATTTAGATGTGGTTAAGGTCTGTGATTACAAAACCAACTCTGAACACAAAGTCATTTGGAAATAAAGTACTGAAGGATATAACTGAACTGGCATGCATCCCCAAGCATTAACCAAGCTGCATGGGTTGGAGAGACATCGAGTCAACTTTACAGCGCCAAAGTTGTCAGCATTATAAACCTGTTTTCCAAATCTGTGAGTGATTTAAAATGCTGTCTGTGTGCATTGGTACCTCAAAAACAACGCTCCAATTTACAAATCATACCGCGGAAGTAGTAAATAACCTTCCGCAGTGTTTAGACTAATGATACATTATGAATGACTGGAGTAACGTGTATACAACGACAATTTGACTCCTGGATCAAATTGTGACAGAAGAATTTTTACAAATTTAATGGAATGACAGTCTAAGGCTAAACCACTTTCTGTCCCTGGAAAGTACAAGACAGGGCTTTTCTTGAAACCTTTGTTAAGAAATATGAAACTCCCAAGTATAAATATCCTCATGTCGAAAATCTCAGTTTCACCTTTCCCAACTGATTGAAGCAAATATTATAAATGAGACACATTAGATTGTTATATTATCACACGTAAAATACACCTAGCAGAAAAGGAACAAATAAATATACTTGCTTTATTTGAATTTACGAGTTCATCAGAAAGTTTCAGGCCAAACTGCAGCAAAATTTCAAAAAAGGGTCCAAGTTAATCGTTGAAAGCTTGTTTATTACGTAAAGATATCTGGTAAAAGTTGCCGCATATAACTGGAATAACGATCGTTTTCTTTTGATATGCTGAAATTAGTTTCTGTCAAAGTTTTATTTTAAAGATTTCCTCAAAATATTAAAAAAAATCATCTATAGATTATGGCGAATACTAATTTTTTCAGGAATCAATATTGTCCGTGTAATAATTTTTTGAAGGAATAGTCACGGCTATTCAGAATGCCCAGGGTACCTCACGAGATTTTGTGGCTTTATTTATTTATACTACTGTGTACGCTATGGATGTGTGTCTGATGGAATCTCAGAGCGGAAGTCACGATTGAAGTAACATAACGAGCTCTTGTTTACATTAGTTTACAGTTAATTTGGCAGCACTGGCGTTCTGCAATTAAGGTGGGCTGAGTTCTTCGATTTTCTTCTCCACAAAATTATCACTTTTACTCGAACTGGATTGTTACAAGCCGCCATGGATCTATCCTAGAGTTGTCTATAGTTCAAATGTCGTCAACATCCACTCCTCCAATAATAGCTATGTTTATCGAACTTTCATTTTAGTGCTGTTTGAATGGAAACGCATCATTTGGTTTTGTGCATCTGGCTTTTGTTTGATGGGCGTTGTTTTACTGGTAGAAATTTACCGATTCTGGTCACAATCTTTAGACATTTTAATAAAAGATATGGGCTCAGTATTTAATTGAACCAACTCAGTCCGAACTTTTTCCTACAAAGTAGAAAATGAAGCACGCCCAAGTCATCGTTGTACTAATTAATGAGTTGATCACATTGAAGGCAACTCGTGGAATGCACGCGAGGAAAAGCAAGTGAATTGAGAAAGTGCATTGGCACATAAGAAAAAGTAAACTCGATCATCAATAATCCAGGAAAGATAGGACCACACTTCACATCCGCTTTTTTTTCATCGCACATACACTAAACTTTGTCCAATTCGTTGTTATGAAAAAAACCATTACTGTGTGATTATTTTTAGTAAAGGCCTTACATTATCCACTAACCACAAAAAGACCTGGGAGTTAGCTATCATGAAATTTTAAAATAAACCTGTCTTTGCGGTTTAAGACAACCGATTTGTGGACAATTTTTTTACTGTCACCCTGGGATTTGCTTCAAGCGTTGTAGGTTCATACATGTCGCCATAGATGTTCCACGTTTTAGTATGTAAATCTAATTATTAAGGGTTGCAATAATGATTTTAAATAAGGTTTTTTCTAAACCCAGTGAAATCTTCCTTGACCACTGAAGTTGATCTAGGGTGTGTAGAGCGGTACGTGTCGTGCTTTGTAAGGAAAGAACCTCAATTCTACTTAGAGGAATGCATTATTCCATCCCTATACTCAATGAAAGTGATGGTCAATCTAATAGATGAGGAAAAGGGGATTTAAAGCAAAACAGAGAATTAACGACTCCCTAATTGACACAAAACCACCATACAGCGTGACATTCATTGCTATGCCAAATACATATTTAATGTTTTCTGCTAGACATGATAAGCACTTACGACTTCCAAAAAGTCAGGTCATGGCACACTTATAGCACAGCTAATCATCAGTTAACAGCTATGGCAACCTTGGAGACAGTTCTTAATGATAATGCTTATCATTTGTCTGTTTACAGAATGAACCATTAGCTGTCGAGATTCTTCTGATTATGTAAGCTACCTGAGATTTGGTCGCCAAATAAAGGTAACAGAAGCATATCCGGCAGTTATAATTCTTAGGACGCAAAATTGTTCTCTCAGACGTGCTCAACTAAAACCAAAGAGCTAAGTTTTATGTCAAGGGCATGGTAGCTTTGTTTTCTCTTCTCAAGATTCTTGTAGTCATTTTACCAAAAACAAATTGCTTATAATTCTCATTTAACACAACTTGGTGGATGTTAATTATGTGATTTATTTGAAACTTTACGCTTATTTATTAATTTCAACATGAAACTCGTGAATAAAGAGCATCAATCCTGGCAGTATTAACATTCACCAACTTTATACCAGTTTGAGCAAGTCTTCTCATGTTTCTTGCAATGAAAACAAAAATCTGTTTTGTGGACAGTCTAAAAGCAACTGCACTGGAGCCTACATTTGCAGATATTAGTATGTTTATACTAAATTTTAAGTGAAATTTCAAAGTTACAAATTAAGGAGGAAAACCTTTGTACGTCAGGATATCCTTTAGTCTACTAATTTAGAGTTTGGAATGTTGGTCGAAAACTACGTAGTTCCAGCGTTAAAAAGTGATGCGTCTACCAGGCTTAGCAACAAGGTAAATAGTTTCTAGTGCATTCGACTCCATAACCCAGTGCATAAATTACTGCTTACAAATTTAAGGTCTTCTTCATCTAAAATAGCGATTTCCCCTCCTTTAGAGAAAAATGCGTTGATCACAAAGGAGTGCCACGTGTACATTAACAAAATCACGGACAATGCTGTCGCCCATACCCCTTGGCCGTTGTCTTAACGTTGTGACTGTCGACAAAAGAATCCTCTTAAGGCCGTTAGGGTTTCCACGGCTTGCCTGGAAGCAGTGGTAGTAGTATTAGCCGAAAAGATATCACCTTGAATGCATTAAAAAGTGTCGAAAGATCAAAATTACATTAAGCAAGATTCTGAAAATTCCAGACATCGAATTCTGTGTGCAAAACATAAGTGGAATTATGTGAATAGCATTTTAAACCTTTGCTTCATGTGAATGACACATTGAATCCGGACGTCGCTGTAGAATTAAACGAGGGCAAATAATTACCAAACCATTTATATTTTGAACTAAATCAATCAGAGTCAACGCTTTTAAGTAGAAATCAGTGCAAAGAACCTTGGAAGACAATAAATTACTTGGGATTTAAATTGAGTTAAACTTAATACCTTGCTTAACGGAGTGTAAGTAATGTATCAGTTCTCAATTTTGAATTTTTGATGTAAATTCGCATGTTGGTTATTCACAATACTAATCAGTAAGGAGGCTGATAAACACTTTTAAACGAAAAAAATTGCATTCGCTGTTTAAATACACACGACTTGTGAATTTCTGTGCTTCAAACTCACAGGTTAACGTAAGGCACCACGTGGCTTGTGGCCGAAAAGAGGTCAAGTGCCAGCATTAATAATTGGCACCCACTGATAAGGGTCGCTTTAAATACCAGCATTACGCGATGCGACCCTTCTGTTCTATGAAACCATGCACACCACAAAAAGCGGAATGGTGCGTTATTAATTAAATGCGAACAATGACTGGGGCCTTAGCATTACAAAATTCTGCTTTTTTCCATTGGTTAACAGGTATTTGTGCAGTCATGCATAAGATTTTTTGCAATATTCACAATTAATCCAGTCAACCAAATTACGTAAACAGTTGAAAATTTGGGTACATTTTTGAAAGGACTAAAATATAAACTAACCTGGATGGCGAACCTTGCAGCCACACGTCGAAGGCGGAGCCTGACAGTGAGGATTCACAGAACCAGAAAGTTTGTGGGGCAACTCGTTTTGTGCTAAGGCAGGGAACACTGAAAAATATTGCTGGATTCCGGGGTATTAGCAAGAACACCTAATGCTTAGTTTCGAAAAATAAATGAATAAGAGGGTGCTACAGATGATGCAAAATTAAGAATTACAATACTCTCCTTTCTTTTAAATCCAGTGTTTGCCGTAAGGAATCTTCTGCAAAAGCTGTTGGATTTCAAGTGTTTATCAAATAGAAATTAAACAAAACTGCCATATTTGAGGACCGAATTATTTGTTCTTCTCCTTTGATAAAACGGCGTTTTAATGGTTCACTGGAGAATTTTCTGATTGTGTAATAGAAAATGGTTTCAGAGATATATATTAGGAAACTAAGCGCCTATTTAAATGATACACACGTCCAAATCATTAAAATACTCAAAACCTACCCCTGCTAACAGCTTGTATAACTGTTCTGGAGTGTTCGTAGCTTTTATTTACTTCAGCAACCCGTGCGCTAACCTGGGCCTTAAAAGGAGAATCCACGGTCATCGTGACAGTCGGGGTTAGCCACTGCCTCAGAGGTGGTAATCGGCCGTACGACACAGAAACCGGTATAATCGGATACCAGGTAGCCGCGACTACCGAATGGAATGCAACAAGAATACAGGGATAGTTGGTGTAAGTGGGTGGGACTGGTCGACGGGACAGCCGCAGGGGGATTTGACTTGCGGAGCATGTGGGGCGTTTTCAGTATGCCCCGAAATAGAACTGGTAGGCCCATCGGCCTGACCGGAGGCAAGCAAATGAGAAGGGTCAAGGAGCAACAAAAGATTTCGATGAGGAAAAGGGGTGCCCCACGGTGGAGTGCTTGTCAAGACGAACCACGTCACACTTCCGAACCTTGCAATGAATGTTTAAATAACGAGGAAGATGTGCAGATAGACTCAGGTTGCACAAGTGATGATTACTAAGTTAGAAAGTGGTCAGATCAAAGTGAAATTTTGACTTTTTAAAGTATAAATTTAGGGATGGGAATGGTCGTAAACAATTTTAAAGTTTAATGTATGAACTCATTGTTAGCTAAGTGTCTTCAAAAAAACCTTAATTGCAGAAAAATCTGCAATGTTGTGGAGATAATACCTACCTGCGTTTGGTGTATGTGTGGAAGATAATACCTATCAAGGATGACATTTTACTAAACCAATTGCTTTCGATTGTGAAAGTTATTTGAAAACATTCAAGTGGAGGGGTAAGGAATGGTGAATGCTTAATTCAACATCAAAAGAAAGATATAACGGTAGCGTAAGGGAACTTGAAGTCTGGAAAGCATGTTTATGAATTCACGAACTTTCTGAGGAGTACGACTTAACCAACTAAATAATTTGCTTAGCACAAGCTAAGACGTAAGCATGACCCATGACGAAGGAAATTAGTGATCGTTGTGTGCTACTGCAGAATGACCTTTACCAGTGTTTATTAATCTAATTATTCATGTCTAAAGTATTCATTAATTAGCTTCATGCACTGCACTCAAAATTTGCTTGGACGTGAAAATTTTTTGTCAAATTTTGAACACCTAAAGCGTTGTAGCACATGTGTGTAAGCATGTAAAAAGTGCACTTGGAATTTACCTAAAATTTGCAATGATTAGTTGGTCAGCAATAAAAGCTCTATGCTTAGTGCGTGTTTAATCAATTAACACCCAAAACCAGAGATTGCAGGACAATTTCACTGCCCTCGTTCATGACCTAAACATCGCTTAAATTAAACATAGAATTAGCAAATGTTAATTAGGTGAAAACCCCAATTGTGTGCCACAATCAGAAGGTCACTTCTTCACAAATTAGTAAGTTTTATCAATGAGAAACAAAACTGAAAATTTTCACAGAGATTGTTTGGAATGGCAACATTACTTGTATTCACGAGCAGAGACGAACCATGAATGTGACATTTAACCGATTCTTCCGACAAAGGAAACCTTAGAGATAGAGGTTACTAAAAATAAAAGCTAGATATACTATTAAGTGAACCGCCTGTCCATGAAATCAACTGTAGCAAGACCGACCACAAACGACTGCCAGAAGATTACATATATATACTATATTACTGCTTAAACTATAGTGATTAGATAGCCATAGTTTAAGTCAACGACAAGGTGGTTAAATCAAAGACGTGGCTACAAACATCAAAGTAGTTAAAGGAGACTACACAGACTAGGAAGGAATATTTGTACAGATTTGATGGAGGAATTAGCCAAAGCAATAGATGTCAAAAGGAGAGCATGCAACAAAACATGTAGCAAACTGCACAGCCACTTAATGACACACCCATAAAGTAGTTCCTCGAATAAGCATCACAAAAATCAGCAAGGACAAAAAATATTACAAAAATGAAACAAAATGCCCACAGTTATGCGAATTTTACCCTATTTCAATTGGTTAAATCGTCTGTCAGCATTACATTTGACAAGATGTTACAACGACCTTTGCTTATAACGACCCAACATGATAACCGTGAATAAGGAACAGTTAAAATGTCTTCTGCAAAGCAATCTGCAAACTTGAAATAGGATGCGCACAGCGGATGGGTTAAGACTGGTTAGCACATTTACTACAATTCCCAGAAATGTGGATTAGACCTGGCCGAGGAAAAGAAATGCACATGGCGGTCAGAGAATTTAAATTTTTGTTTTTATCCCCGGTCGTGTACTCGGCAAAGAAATATTGGGAAGCAGCCCTTGACTAATGAGTCAATAATAAAGTTTATCATAATTATGAAAATATTGAATACCGATGGCCTTTAAATTCTGAAACAAACGAACAGCGTTGAATTTTCAGAGGTTCTAGTGACCCTGAAACATCTGATAAGCTATGGGAATACGATTTATAGTCATACCTTAGAAGCCTGATGGATGTAACTGTCTTTACATGCAAACCTCATAATAAGGGGATTAAGTGTGTCTAGAAGTTTTAAGGTCACGCGTCTCTATGATTCGTTTCGTAATCAAATTCAAAAATCGAAAAGCAGAAAGTGACAGAAAGTTCTGGACGTTTGAGGCTAGTTGTCTTATTAATATTTGTTTCTGCATCGAAAAAATTGGTTTTTGATTTGAGTTAACATTCTATAGGAATGCCGAAGTGAGTAAGTACGATTGAATCCGTCAGTTGAAAACTGTTTCAAAGAGTAGACCGAATGTACCCTCGTCTGACCAAAAGTTTTTTCTACAGCTTACTTGGAGGATAGTTGAGCAATCATTCAATCAACTCAGCCTCTGGCGACAAGCAAAGTTCAATTCAAGATGACTCTGCGACAAATCAACTTACTACAAGCGTATTTTAATGAGTCTCAGGTATTTTGAAGGGGGGATTTCCCCTAGGCATCAGTCGGACAGAATTTCTCCCTATAGGGCTTGGTTTCGGTGAAAATCGATGAAAAGATTTAAGGTGTGGCTTATGCACGAATAATTAGATATATTCGGCAAGCAAATTAGGACGCCTGCATTTCGGCCAATGATTACATATGCGTGGTTCGAATCGAGATGAAGAGGCAAAGAAACCATATTTTTTAACTGCTGACCATTTCAGCTTTTTCAATGTAATTTTGAAACAACACAAATTAGGGGGTTTTGTAAAGTGTTTATGATGCTGCTTTGGGTCATGCTGCATTTTTTTATAATGACAGTTGCCACCCTCGGGAATCCCTTCCTCCTGCGGACAGTAGGAGCGAGTAATCGAAACGCCTGCATGCATAATGCAGAAGTTTTCGATTGGATTTGACAAACCAAGTGTTTGAATTTCGTGTTTATCATTAGCCTTCTACGGATTGGCCCCACTTACATTAATTAATGTTTTGTAATAGCCAGCGCACCAAAAGATCAACGAGCGGGAGCCTGGAATAAATCTGAGAGGATATAAGAAACATTCGATTTAATAAGCTTGTCGAAACCCTTTGACAGAATCTCATCTGGAGAAAAGAATGGTCATTTGGCAAAATTGGTAGTGATAAATCGGACAATTCCTCGTAAATAAAACGTTGTCAATTGCTAAATGTTTTGGTAGGTGTGCATTCCCGAAGCAGTGAGTCTTAATTAAGTGTTCAATGGGTTGTGCTAATTGGTGACCATAATCTTATGACTCGCAACTGCCTCATAACGGACTCTAATGAATACTCACTACATGTCTTTTTGGCTGTAGCAACTTATGGCTAATTCGATAAATTTAAGTGCACCAGAAGGAACACCAAGAATCCGTAAACAGGCCCTGCAATGTCACTAAATCACTTTTTCCAATCCCATCTAAAAATATGCCAAGCGACAAAATGACTTTCCGAACACTTATAAAGATGTTCAGATGGTGGATAATGTTATCACTACATAAACGGACTTTCCGTTTTTCCAAAAACTCTTTGAAAACTCATATTTCGGAGTATCCTGATTACAAGGTACATTCATTTTACTGATAGAAATTTCTGGTGTTAGCAAGATGACCAGAATAAGAGTATTAATAACTTGCTTTCTGCCACAGTTGGAATTAATTAATGTGGTGAGCAGTGTTCTGAGGCAGATTAACTTAGTACGTTGCTCGTCCGAACTCACTTGTAGAATGTGATTTTAGGATAACACGCCTACTATCGAGCGTATTCCTAGCTGCTTTTGCTCTCTTTGGTGTATCATCGTGTCGTTAATCCTATTTGTGGAAGGATTTAGTGATTTTTTGTGGCATTGTACTTAATTATCTTCCTGGTACCTTATAATTTAAAAAAATCAAATTACTCTGTTATGCAGAGGTGCAGCGTTACTGAAAATATTTATTTCCACACAACGCCACCAGAGCATAATTTGTCATTAAGCAATGGCTAGATGGGTTCAACAAATAGGCCACAAAGTGAGCCTAATGACTGGCATACGGTATCACTCATTAAACCCCCACACAAATCGATGTTACGGCGTAGAACAGATATCTCCCTAGGTCTGAGGCAGTTTTCGAAAAAAAAACACGCTGCAAAATATATTGCCGCAGGTTTTGACTGGTTAAATTGGCGAGGGAGGCATAACCTGTGGAATCAAGGAAACGATTAGTCATCGCCGCCGTAGCAGCACCTCGACGAACCGGCCTGGTGAGTGGGAGGCACGAGGGAGCGGAAATGTGGGCTGTAACCTCATTTGACCTGCTGACGTTCATGCAAACAGTCATGTACACCTTGGCATTGCCGGACGTACATAAACTTTTGGGGCATGATTTCAAACTTCGAAGTAAGCATTGCCATGGATGACGCGTAGCATTGGCCTATGTGCAACAATCTCCCACATGGAAGGAAACAAGTCTCCTCTTCAGAGCCACCAGCAAATTCAATTAATAGGTTTCTACACAAAGAGGTCACACGACGGGTTTTAAGTTATGGTATTAATTGCATGGGATGATATTGTTCCTCCTTTCACGACTGATAAGCTGAAAGAATTTGGTTATTGAATGATATTGGAGGATTTTCCATTGTTACTGAAATGTGGCAGGTGAAATGAGGTGTGATGACAAAGATTAGAGGGACCAGTTGATGCAGAAGAAAGGGGCATTTTGGAAGGGCTCTAACAGAAGCCAGAAACGAAACCCTGACATTAGCGAGAGAACATCGAGCCACTTATTCGGTGGAAATCTGTTTAGGGTGCTACAACCTGAGCTGGTCCTGGGTGGTTTCGCTGTGAGCCTAAACCACTTTAGTCAACCATTGAAGCAATTTGTGATATTTTGAATACTTTGTGCATGAAATTACAGAACGGGGAATACCTGTATCGCATAATGGGCTGCTAATATGGCCAAGTGTACATTTGGCTAAACAGAAGGAATGAAGAAGTTGATTCATCTTACCTTCACGTCCAGTGATAGGGCTGGAAGGTACAACTTGATGGCATTTAAGAATGAAATTTCAAGAGTGATGAACTTGGAAGTTTCTGTGTCACAAAAACCGGAAGAGAAAATCAATCTATCATAATTTGAAACTCCAAGAATCACTCTGGAGTGCGACGTCAAGTAACTTTGTGATGACTGCATAAAATTCATATTTACTTGAGCCGCAAGGCTTTCCAAATGGATTTTCGTACCCTTCGAACTGACTGGCAATGGCGAACAGTGGCAGACATGCTACGTGACTTATTGCGACATAATATGTTGCCACCGCTTTATCTATAAAAGCCTCGTGCAATAAAGCTAAGTTTAACATGACATAGAAGTTTTGATAATCTCCCGACTAAACTGTATAACATTCCGCGACGTGCCATAGCCCTCTTTAGGTTAGACACACTTCTATCGATTGGTTAGGGACAGGTAGGATTAAAGACCAATGAAAGGTAGCGCACGCGGTGATCGGCCTACGTGGGTTTCCCTTCCCCGACGCACGACTGTGCGTTTACTACGTGCACCAAAGACCGAACGGGGGACTCTTGTCAAGAAGGCAAACTGTGGGTAGCAGAAACAAGTCGATGTTTGAACTGTCTCAGGTGCTAAGACAACATTTTATCGTTAAATCAATTAACTCTAGGCTTAAAAAAGGCTGCCAAATTTAACATAGTTCACACTATTCATTCTAGCTTTTGGCCGGCGGACTAGTCTTACTGAACTGAAGAGATAATTTGACATGAAATAAAGCCGTCCTGGGGTCCTCCGCATAGAAGCACCACTTTCAAATAATGCGACCTAGTAATTGAACCTTGTTTATTCTCCTGACAGTTCAACCGAACGGCGTCCTATTCGTTTGCAGCTTTCGCAAAGTCTAGAAAGTCACATGATCTACCAACCGTAACAGAGCGTGCCAATTGTGACTTCAAAAATATACAACCGCAACTGGCCAGTTGGGCTTAGGTAAGCAATTAAGTTAGAAGCACCCTTTTGGAGAAATAGGCCCACTACATTCTAGCGTTTGGACAATCGCGGCATGACATTTGATTCCCTTTACTCTAGGTTGCATGAAGGCTCTATGTTAAAGCGGCAAAAGATCGTGCTTTCGACGAAAGCAGGAATTAGATTTGACGATAAGTTGAGGCCATCAAATAGTCAACCTCATTTCCCGAATTTGGATATAAAAAGGGGACGGTGAGTACGACTTCAGGATAAAATGATTAGCAGCGGAGTAGCTGGTCCGCACCGTCAGAACACCGTATGTTCAAGAGTACACGCATTGAGTTTGAAACATAAATGTGTGTATTTAAAGCCCAGAAGTGTGAAACTGCGCTAACATCAAGATCTTTGTGAATGTTATCACGCATGCAGTTCGTTCGCGCAAATGAGGTGTGAGTTGAGTTTCCGCTCAATTGACGGTATATTGTGAAAAGGGCAAAAACGTGTTGGAGAATGGAGCTAATGGATTAACGAGAGTGATTCAACGCAATCCACAACATATGGTCTGCTTCGGCTTGATGGATCACAGAACGTACACATTAATTTGCAAAACGAAGTCTCCAAACGGTGTTTCCTGCGAACCACTACACGTCGACCTAGTTTCAAATCTAAATAATTCAAGTTTGCCGGTACTAACAGATGATTTTGGAAGTTCTTGCTCGATGCAAAACCGATTTTAGTGCAGCACATGTTCACCACGGTGTTTATTAATCAGTAATGTACATTCCAGAAATTCCCGAAAATGTCTGTTACGTCTTGCCGTAACCAAGATCACACACTCATATTACCGGTACCCCAGATCCCTTGCCTGACGCTACCCCCCACCTTGCCACGCCAATGTAAGACAAGGCAGGACCTCGTGTAGGGAGCTTTTAATGCCTCAGCCAAAGGCCGAGTGATGCCTGGATGTGCCCATTTATGCAAGTCAACAGTGACCTTGACCTGATGGATCAAAGTGGGTTAACACAGGTGGAGTTGTTAGTAGATTGCCGTGGGCGACTCATCCGGTGACGTGGCGTGGTTAGAGGAATGGCAGAATCAATGACGAGATCCCAACTCTCGATGAGCCTTCTTAGGGAATGCTGGGTCCCCATCAATCTTCCAATGTTCTCAAAGTTTAAAATCCTTCATTGTAGAAACGGTATGACTTCTCACCAACGAAAGTCGTTAGGTCGTTTTCCATATCTTCCATTAAAAAATTAACATTTTCCATTGAAATAACTTTGCAGAGATAGAAACAAATGAAAGTTCAAAGGAATAAGGTGACTGTTGCCAAAGGATTCTCCGTTTTAGTGTTAAAAATTCCTCCAAGGCCCGTTGAGCGACACGTGATTTAGCGTTGTCATTGCGAAAGATGATGCATTTTCCACCAATCAAGTTGTGGACAATTAGCTTGAATTTCAACATTGGGTTGGGTGGGTTGCCGAATACACTCTTCTGTAGTTATTGCTTAATCACGTTAAAACTTGTAGGAAGTCAATTGCCTGCAATCTCCCCACCAAAAAAAATTATCAACACATTCGTCGGACGAAGTTCAGGCTGGGCCACATATTATGCTCCTCCACTTCCATAGCTAAATGCAGTCGATTTTCAAACCTCACTGAATCAGGGATCAAGGCATTACCGATGCCGCAAGTTTATTTAAGTCTACATTTGTCGATTAGAACAGCGTCCTATTTTGAAACCCACCAAACCACTCAACTGTTCTACGAGCAGTAGCGCGATCCAAAAAATGAATTGAACTTTGTTACCTGTCAAATGCTCATGTTTCCAAAGAAATAGTTTAATGTGACATAAAAATAATAATAATCCAACCTGCCATATTCTATTTAGATAATTAGCGTCATGCAAAAAACCTCAATATTACTTAAAAGTTAAGTCGACTCACGACGCACCCAGATAATTGTGAAGTATGTGATCGCAAAAGAAACTACACCACAGTCAAAAGCGCATACTTCCGCCAACTATGGAAGTTGGCCACGAAATTTCATAATCACCAACTACTTCACGGGTAAAAAACAGACCTTGGCTCTTATTTCATACATAGGGCCAGGGATCTCGAATGCACACTGTTCACGGCCGTTATACCAATTGCTTAGCAGACGCCAAGTCGGTTACGGAGAGCATAGATACAACACTAACAACCGACAACCAGGAGATAATGGAGATGCATCGTACTCATTCGTAAAGTACTTATATTGCAAGTATGACAAGATGTTTAAATGATCAACAACACCAGCGTCACAGTTTTAGCATGCACAAACCTCTGCGTCTTTTGGCTAATTAAGTCATGATAAAAAATGTCAAAGAATAGAAGATGGAGCAACGGGCACAAATGAAAAAAGTGGATTCAGACAGGTAACAGGATTGCCAAACGCAGTAAGTGGGGAGAGCGAAGGTACGGACCAAAAAGCAAGGAACACCATGATCAAAGTCCGCGATTTTCGAATACAGATTTGTGGTTTTCATTGAGGCAGAGGAGGTTGTGCAAGTGCTTTACTCGTTGATTTGTTTATCCAGAGCGGCTTGGATGTTCGAAAACCGATCGGCATCGGTGTATTCGATCTCATTACGCTCCCACCTGCTTTGACGATCAGCAGAAGGCAATAGCGACGATGGTGGCTGAAGGATCGGGCCTGAAGATACGTCGAGTTTTGCCAAATGGCCAACCAAACCACCCTAGAGATAGAAAAATAGTGATAAGATACATCTGTCTCCGCTTTGCTTTACTACACACATGCACAGTGACAAACACCATTGGACTAACAATTGAATTGGAAGGTGATTCTGTCGTTGCGTTTCTCATATTATGGGCTACTAGAAAATAAACATTTCCCACGATAGGCCTTGGAAAAATAGAGCATCAGTTATCTCAAAGTGGTACGAAAACACAAGGAGCCTTGTAATTGTTTACATACTTTTCAGGGGATTAAAGATAAGCCCCCTGACCAGTGAGGAGAAAAGGGCTGTAAATGAGGAATGCTGTATCTGGTATGGTACTCTAACAAACTTGCAAAACATGCAATCAAGTTAGGAAAAAGACCAAACACGAAGATCTTAAAGCTAAGAGACGCGTGGGAGTCCTGACCCATCATTCCTAATGGATAAGGCAAACGAAGACCGAAATCAGCAAATTCTTACGATAATAGTATTACTTGAATACAGCCTAATCTTCAACCTAGGAGCGTGAATCACTAGCCCGCGCAATCGAAAATGAGAGCAATTAAACGGGATAAACGCTTGCACAAGTGTACAATTCCATCATTACTATTCGGGAAAATGGTTTCAGATTGTGGCCAAACTCTGGTTGTCGAAGAAATCGAATTATGTCTAAATCCAGACTGAGGCATTAAACACAGTTGCACGTGTTGAATGAGGCCTGAGGCTTGAAATGTAACCGCTTAGTTTTGCAACGCATTCTAGCCTTGCACGAACCGACTCAAGGATGGATTTTCTGAGGTTTACAAGAATTTCCTCAGTCATAACTGCACCCGCAGGAGAATTCCTGCATTTACCGATCAGTTGATTTCCGACTGGAATATCAATTTGCTACTCATCCCTTTAGTTACAAACCAAGCAGGGACCGTGTCTACTTCACATATTTCTCATGAAAATAAAAAGAAGTTTTAGAGACCGTCCTGGCTTCGACCCAAACTGGAATGCAACGACTACACAAATTCGGCGACGGCGGTGAGCGCGTCCCCAGTAAACATGCAGTTTAAACGTGCTAAATGGTCAGGGCTATGAGCCGTGGCGTGCAGACGACACTTACCACATCCTATAACACGACGGATGAAGGGGTTACGGTTTCGTGCAAGATAACGGTCAGTTGTGAGGCGACATTTGGTATAGAGATACAACAAAAACCTTTACTTTTCAAAAAGGGAAGGTTCTAACCCTGACTCTAAAATACCATTTCGACAGTTCCCAATCACAAGGTATCTCTAGTACGTAACAAGGCATAATGGAATTATGTATACACCACAGAAACACCAGATGATACAACTCACATGGGCAGCTCGAGCGTCAACCTAACATGGAGCAAAATATTGATTACTTAAGCGAAAAGACAAAGTAGACTGATTGAAGACAATAGCGATGGGTTATTGTGACTTAGGAATCCAAAAATCAAAAACCCACATATGCTTTGGTTGTACGCTTGACTGAGCAAGGCTCGTGCATGAATCAAACCGTAGTTTTAAATGGGTCAAACTTCTCGAAATGTCTCATAGGTAGCAGAATAAATTAAGCAAGAATCCGGGAACTTCGATATATTAAACCAACCATTTCGGTTTATTTAGTGACATGGGTGATGTAATTTGTGCTGCAATTAAATGTTCACGTGTTACCTTAACATCGTCAATCATTTGCCGAGTACAAATGCACTAAGCAGATGATAACCGAAAGGGCCTCCAATGGGTTCCAGAAGTCATTATCACAAGTTTAAATATGTGACTAAACGGATAGGTCAAATATGCCTTAAAGTTTTAAAATTTTGGCGGAATCTGGACACAACCTCCCAAAACTGCGGTCTACGAAACTATCAAAAACTTCGTATATTACCAAACGCGGAGCATGAATCAGAACCACGACTGCATCAGAATGCCCAGAAAGACATTCCCATCTACGAGTTTGTATGTGGTGGTATATCTAACAAAACCATACAGTTGCATTTTCACTTGCCAGCTCAAGTCAAAAAATAAATTCAGGTTTACATAAACGAAAAACCACCACGAAATAATGACGAATCTTACGACATCAGGGTTGATTTTCGGTTTGACGTCCGTCAAAAATATGTGCCACCAAAAATTAAGAAATTGGAGTGAATGGGCGCTGATCTCGTCACCCAAAGTGAGGCAGCCAGTGTCAGCGTTGACCTGATGCTGCCAGGGCTTTAAAGTGCCGATGAAGTGGACGATGCGGATCTGGTAGCCGAATCGCTTTACTGCAGGTGGATAAGAGTAGAAGATCTGGGCTATGCAGTTGTATGTGATAGGAAGGTGACGACGGATGTCCTTGGTGGGCCAATCAGAAAAGTAAAGGTTAAGAAGGCCCTGAAAAAGTAAACACAGAGGAAATGTTAGCAATTCGGACTAGGTGGGTTACAGAAAAACAATACTCATTGGCGGGTAGGAATATTAATCTCACAAAAATTTGCTAAAGTAGTTCATGACAAAATATTCAACAAACAACTAGCCACAATCGCTTGTTCGACTCTCCAGTTTAATTGACTTCATAAAGAAAAGTAATACTAGACAACAAGTATTCTTTAGACCGCGTGAGCACACAACAATTGAGGTTAGTTTAACGGCTTAGGTGTAACATCAAACCTGATCACCACCATCAAAGCTGCCTTCTGAAAAAGCCAAGTCAAGCAGAGCACGATAAGTGTCTAGATTGGGAACAAAGACGAAGACGCCAGAATTGAAGCAGTCGGCCCAGCCTGGATCAGGGGCAGCACTCAACTCCTCCCGCTCGAAAAGATCGTCAACATTTTTTACAACCTGTTAAAGACGAAGTGAAGGAAGTTAGAATAGATAGACCCATACAGTCCATTTAATTAACTTCTTGATAACATAACTTGTTCCCAAATATCTGAGACACACTACTGTAAGGCAAGCCAGTGTAAAAGCTTGGAAAACGGTAGCGAGTATGAATAAGCGCACCTACCAAATATAAAAAAGGGTACTTGAGTTTTGGGTAAACGTTTATACTACGTAAGCTGAAAGTTATCAGGAAGAGGAATTCGAACTAGACAACAGTTTTAGAAAGTAGGGGAAAAGATAACCAATCAGCACAAATTTACGATGAGGAGTGAACCCATTAAGGGTTCCAAAGGTGCGCATACATTTACTTACCAAGGTGTCAGCATCCAAGAAAACGCATTTCGTGTACTCGGTCAAACGCCAACAATGAAGTTTTGTAAATGATACACCTAGATCGGGTCTTGAAAGAAGCCTAAGATTTTCCGTATCATTGCTATCCAAAACGTCAACGAGAACGACGCGGTCAAAAGTCTTATCAAGCGATGCTCTACGAATGATAGAAGATCAATTTAAAAGGAACAATACCTCATTATTTCTGACACCGTGTTGGTAACCATGCATACAATCTGTCTAGTTGTGCCAACTCTCCGCAGAGATTCCGCCAAAACCAGGGCACCACAACAATATTCATCTGTAGTGGCAAGGGTAACGAACGCCTCGGTCACTAAAAGAAGAAGTAACTGACAATAGAATATGCAAAGTGCAAAATATGAAAAAAGTCCAAACAATGAATTAGGCTCCGCACTATTGATGCGCAGAAGGTAGCCAAGTCACACAGAATAACGCGGGAAACTAATTTCGCAGGTCAAGAATAACATTGCATTAATCAAACAAAAGTGCGGACTGAAAGTAAAAGGAACACATTTGCATTAGGAAAGACTTAACATTTAATTCTGCAGTTTCTACCTGCGTTCCCATATTTTCAGACTAAATTTCCTGAATTTTGTTTACAAATACGGCTATAAGTTATCAAAGTTTCAATTCACGCTCAGACAACCGCTGACTTTAGACTATTTCATCGAAGACAATCATATCTTGAAATCTAGGTTGCAATTAGCTAAATCTCCTAAATAATTGTATCAATGTGCGTTTTCTGTCAAGCAAAGTATTTCGACATTAAACTGTTTACGCAATTCCCCAAAAGTTAAAGTTCAGATGTTAATGTACACCCATATCTCGTTGGTAATATTAATTTCCGCCGCCATAAGAGCCAACCGTTTAAAATGTACAAAAACCGTTTTTCCACAAGGTTTAAATGTGTAGGCTTCATGCCCATAGTAAGGAGAGGAGTATGCAGACAAAACAAGGTCTTTACTACAGACAGAGAACTGTCATAGACAGGGCTAAAATCAGCCGTCAAAGCAGTCTGGTCTAAGATATCTTTGTATGTGGTTGTCAGGTTGAAACCATTTGAGGCCTACGTCGTAGTGCTGATGCCTAGTTTTTTTGAGGAATGAAGGATTTTTTGCTGATGTTAAGCTCCATCAGACCACTTTTATGAAAGTGGAGCCGGATATTTCATGTACTGTCTGGTAACACTATTGATTCAAAACTTAATGCATATTGAGATTATAAGCAAATATGTTATACTGCATTTTCTTGTCATTGAAAGACGGTGTACTGATTGTGGCTGTCTGTATAGGTTTTCAAGAGACCCATAACTGACAAAAGACATCCTGCTTAGAGATTTTACTATTGTAACATTTGCCATGTTGTTTCCCTATCACCCGCTGTTTTACTACATTGATTTTGTTGGAACTCTATTCAAAATGTACAGTTGTAACTCTCACCGTTTAACACACGAACACCGGTATAGCCCATACATTTCCCACCTCTTCCCTCCCCCAATCTCGCCTTCCTCAAGGCACGTCCATGAATCTGAGTCAACGCCAATCATCCTGGTGGCTATTCCATTCCTATCTTAGCTCTAACTGTCTCTAAGCTCAAAACCCCTGAATTTGTATGCGGGAGTATGGAATACATCCGTTTCTTCCTGCTATTCGTCTATCGTATGACTAATAGCTTAACCTGAGGGTGTGGTTATCTAAAGGTGACGGGCTTACAATTATTCACACATGTAGGTCTCCACTCGGTAGTAAATAGATGTTATATAAATCCGCCGTGATTGATTATTTTTACAGTAATTCCATTTTGGAGAGCACAGCTCCGATTGTCAACGACCAAACAAGACGTTTAAAAAAGTCCACATAGATGCCTTTGACGATTAAGACCTTAAATACAGTATATCCATTTGAATGAATACAGTTTGGTATGTTAGTTAAGAGCCTCAAAATAATGCGACCGAATAAATTAGGGTAATGATGCAAAGAACAGTTTCATGGAACAGACCGTCATATTTTAGAAGTATTTGCTAAATAGAGGTTTTATGTCGCCTCTGCTACCAAAAATCACTGATTTGAAGACGGTGACATCGTGAGTGCATTGGCTTCTAGTCCCTGGCTCACTATTTATTGCCTCCTTTTGAAGCGCACGCCATTCAACCCACGTTCACCCGTCGTGTATGCAGAGTATTAATAGGATTACACGGTCATGCCTTTCAACCACGGACATCAAAATGCATCCACGAGATTCTGAAAGCAACTGCTATGTCTGACTAAATAGCACACGGACAATATTGTTTCGCAAAAAGACTTGATAAATATAGCTTCCGGGGTTCACTATAATGTTTGGCAGTACTTAGCTACGATGTACACTCCTTTATCTTTAATTTTTTATTTTGTTGGACTCTTAACTGAACCTGCCCTAACCATTAGCTGCATATGACTTCCCTTGTTAACATCTAAAACGGGCACGCCTGAGCAATGAGGTGGCAAAAGGCACTTGTGCTGCGACTTTAACCGTTACTAAACAGCGCGTCGAGAGAACCGATGTTCAAATCCCTCGTTTAAAGCAAGCCCCAACTTCCCATTACGGGACATGGACAAGGCCTCGTTCAGGGAACTTTCCGCTAAAAGGCTAATTCAGGTGTAACAATGCACAGCTACAGAATAACCTACAGAGTACCCAAGCCCTGTTATGAAGAAAACGGGTACAACAATGCATGCTTTCTTAACCAGCCGCGAGACAGAACCATTCGTCAAACGCCATCTATCCGAGTCCACCTGTAGTGTGGTGCAGAATACCCGAGCGCTAGTATGAAGAAGACTGGAACAACAGTAAGGCTTTATTGACCAATCACAAGTCAGAACGACACGCCTGGCGCCGTCCATCCGAGTCCACAACGCTGGCAGTGCCGCTCATTATATACTGCATCTCCCACGTATCTGTCTCTAGTTAACTGCATAGCTACCTCGCATGTCATTCAAACGCAGACAGAAAAGTGGCTGAAGGCGGCGTGGTCGATCATGTCTGCACAAAGGTTTCTCACCTGTCGTCTACAGGCCTCTTGATATTCATGTTTTCTTTCGAATTTTCAATCGCTTAGTGTAGAAACATGAAGGGATACTAAGTGCAATTAAAAGCAATTTTGAAAATTGGTGAAACGTGCAGCACGACTAAAACGTTACACTTTGAAGGACTACTCTGATTTACTACGGATGATCCCTCGATTCCCAAGGCAATCGACCCTGCTAACACTTCAATTGCCTTAGTGTCCACGTTCTAGGAAGATGCATACCACGATATCTGTGCATCACTAGTTTGGCTAATGATCACGTATTTATGTTATAAATATTAACGTCCTAAGACATTACAATCCTTCAGGAAGGACAAATTTGCTCGAATTTTCATCCTTCAAATTGGCATGAAAAACAAACGGCCGCATGTGCATTAAAGGAACTCCAACATGCGTAAAATAATGAAATTGAAATAACACATATCGATAAATAAACACAAAAAATAGTTGAAACGTGATCAACAGACACTTCATATCAATGTTCTCCCACACTTGACCGTTTAAATGTACCAATTTTGATTAAAAGTACTCGAAAAGCGGTGCTATTGCACTAGGCAAACTGAGTTGTGCTCAGTATTGTGTGCTGTCTCGGTTGTTTCTAAAGGAATTGTCTTAGGAATTTCGGATTTCGTAAGTACCATCTCCTTTTATGTTTTCTGTAAGACAATTTAGTCTGTTTTGAAAATGAGAAATTTCGATAGTTATAAGTCGCGTCATTGCCTACTACATACTGAATTCGGAGTAGCGGTCTGGTTCATGTGTTTGAAAAGGTAATTAAAATTTACAACTTAGAATTTGGAGACTATAACTTTACATCGAGTTATCCTGTTTCATTTCAGTAAAAACTTTGATCCGTGCACATGTTGTGACTATTCTCATGCTTAATGTTTTGCTTTCTTGTTTATCAAGGAAAATTTGCTCAGTTTAGCCCAGTAGTAAATTATTGCACAGAATTTCCCAATTTTTTTTTTGGTAAAGCTACTGAAATGTGTGAGAAGTCATGCCAAATTACTATGCTGTTTTATTTTGAATCATATATTTCTTATATCCATGGACCATCAACTGGTATTGAGCGTCTTCTTGTTATAATTCAGGAACTAATGCAATTGTCGGACTTGTTAGGAGTTAAGCTTGCATACCCATAGAACTAGCCTTTGAATGTGCCAAGTAGTTAACGACTGGATTCAACTATGCATCAGAAATTTCATTTGCATGTTGCCCTGCGGTATAAATTAAAACGAAAGCCACTCGTCAGTTCTCTCACGGTCTTATTTATTTGCTATACATGGCAGCGTCGTTTATTCTCATTAAACCATAAAGCAAAGGTAACTATCTTCTGTGTTCCTTTTAGATTTAATTACTTCAATGTCGGAAAACGTCTTCCTGCCCGCGAATTTTCGTTGTGTATATTGCCTAGCAAACTTTCCTGACAGCAAGGGCTTTTGGGACCACATGAGTGTTGGGTCATGCAAAGGTGTTGAAGCAGCAATGAGATCCGATCAAACACCTGCACCAAAAGACGGTTCATCTCCTGCGGTGTTACCGTCACCCACTACTGAAGAGTGTGGATCCTCGTTTGTAGATCCGCCGTGTTCCTCTTCATTGTCAAGTCCCAGCATTTCTTCTCATTCAGTATTCAAATGTACACTATGCAATATTAGATTCAAGGACAAGGTTGCTATGATGGCTCATGTGAAGAGCCGGGAGCATGAGGAAAAGATACAGGCAGCGTCCATAACGGAACGTACACAGAAAAAGATGCCGACAGCACCGAACCTCGAACAACAGCAAATATCTCCCTCCCCACCGCCAACGCTGAGGAGTAATATAGCGGATTTAGTGCGTAAAATCGCAAAGGAAGAGCTACCTGCAGTGTTGCGCAATGTTTTTCAAGAGATTTTAAACGCGATACCGGTAAATGCCTGTGAACAGACCACGTCCAGACCAGTCAGGGATGCAATGCCGTCTGAACACGTAGCATCAAATGAAATGTCTGAGATTATTGAGTACCAGGGAAGCGATATTTGGTGCAAAATTTGCAAATGCCGAGTTCCTTCTGAAGTCAATTTGCCAGCTCACTTGAGAGGGAAAAAGCACAAATCGGCTTTGGAGAAGTTTAATAGCTGTCGCCGTTAGAAGGCAAGGTTTTGTAAAGCATTCAGTTCTTTTGTACCTTTTCTACTTACGTCGAGAGGGAAATTACGATTGTGTTATCGTTAGTCAGCTTCTTTTGGTCCTAGCACCAGCACGGTAGTGGTAACTTGAGCTTTGGTAGGTGGTTTTGAGCTGCAAGGGGTACGCTCTAATAGGGTCACCGATTTATTTCAAGCTTGACTGGTCAAGTGTGATCCTCTTTGTTTGCATAAGAAAATAGCAGCCAAGCTTGGTATCACGTCATGTGGTGAATCTGTTTCTCTGCTGCGCTAACTTTGTTATACACTCGCCGAAGGTAGTCCGTTGATGGTGTGAATCCCATGTACCAATTGCAGATAGTTTAATACGCTGGTAGTCTTTCGCGCACACAGGCTTCGAGTCATTATCGTGGTAGGCGGCGCAAATGTGACTCAGCTCTCTTGTAGTAATTATCAGTATAGGCAACGACTGTGAGCCAGTTTTTGGCAGGTGTGAGCGTTCAACAGGTCGAAAGAGTGGCACAAATTGTTGGGGGTGTGGCTGCTGAGGTGATGTTCTTGTTTTTGGGAGTGCACACGCATGCTAACCTTACACGAAATTGCCCGCTGTAAGTGTCGGCCCAAACTCCTTCACGATTAGTTGTAGGTAGAAAAGGCGTATGTGCAATGGGAACTTCAAGAGCTCGGCACTTCGTTTAGTGGAGACCAGTGTGAGCGAAATGCTTCTAAGAGGTGAAACTGTTTGGTCATTTCATGTGCTGATATTTGTCTCCGTGGTGTGTTAATACAGATTCGGTGGTGGTTGTACCTGAAACAAATCAGCACGGTTCTCAAGTGGTGAACAACGAAGCATGGGTAATGAATGCTATTGTTACGTGAGGACTTATCGGAATTCCCGGAGGAGTTTGAGGGGATCAGTGCCCTTTTAGTCAATGCCCTAATCTAGACCATGTGGAGTGTGAGCATTGCTCAGAACAGATATGTGTCCCGTTCAGATCTCCCTTGGTGCACTGCAGGTTTACTATGATAAGTAGGAAATCCTCCACCCCACTGCTCTAAGATTCGCAAGTTGATTTTCTTAATAATGTCACCAGAAGAGCAGCTGATTAATGAACTTAGTGCCTAGGCAATTTACTGAGGTTGTTACCTTGTATTAGTCGACGGCATCTTTCGGCGTTATAAATAGGGTAGACACTAGACATTCTGCCTTTGTAGAATATACTTGAGAAACGGATTTTGTTTGGATACATAAATACAAATGAGGTTGCCCAGTCAGAAGATATTAAATTAGGAAGACTGACACAAAAATACTGGAAGACCAAGTCAAGATTAAACTTTGAGTTTCTCGATGACATAACAAGGTCGCTTTTGGAATTGTCGACAGCTGTTACAGCCAGAAGGTGGTGAGAATCGAGATGGAGACAATGACTAAGAGGAGATTTTAAGGGCATATATGGAGTATTCAGCGGTACACACAAATCTTGAGTGGCTTGTCAAAGTTAATGTGACACACTTGTCATCTTACCTTTTACAATTGGACGGCATTATTTCGCTAATTTACTTTGTGAACCACGTCGACTCACGCTCGTTAATCGGGTCGTTACATTCGCCGACATAATGTCTCCCTTCTTACATCAGGCCATCAGCCGAGCGGAGCCTCAACTCGCACATTATTAGCGTAAAAGACTATCCTGAAGACGTTCACCTAGCTGATGGCACCTAGCTCTCGATGTTAGCACATTTATCGCTCACACTGTCTCACACATCTGAACCCTAAATTCTCAAGCGCCTACAAGGACATCAAATTGGCTAAGCTCGAAAATAGACACTTGTGTCCACGTCCTCTTCGACCTTCTTCATCTTTGCAGTTAGCAGGGTAGCGTAATCGGGCTAGGTTCAACACACTAGCCCTAAATGGAGTTCAAAAACTAAATTCCGAAGCCCACAACAAATTTTAGCCCACTGCATTAGGTAAGCCGTTATTTGAGCAATGAAATATGAACCAAAATGTGAGTGATCACAGCACGAACACTCTTAGCAAGCCTGAGTGATCACGATTACAACCCTTCACCCCGAATGCATGTCACGTATCGATGCTCGCTCATATCTACGTCAAACACCTCCTACCGGAACTGACGCCTTTGTCACGCCAACGGCCTGCTCCCTTGACAATGCAGCAAGCGGCTGAACGTTCGCTGTTTGATCTAGCTACAGCTATAGCAGTGACAGCCAAGTACAAAATCTACCAGACGTTCCATTCCTCCCCAATTATGCGCTTGTAAGCACGCACCTCACTGCCAAACACACAGTGAGCGAATGCTCCCAAAGATCAATTAATACTCCTTCCCAGCCTACTCTGCTAACCGGCTTCGTCGAGTCTTGTCTAGTTAGCCATTTCGTCTTAAAATAAGCCGACGCAAATCATAATACCGCAATCGCACTCAACTAGTCTAAGTCTCCCCGGCACCAAACTGGGTAACAAACAAAAGTGGGCAGTTCATTGGTAGTTCTAAACGTGCTACCCCTCGGTCCAGTTGAGTGAGCACCTGCCGTGTCACACACTGTCATTTCAAATCAAACAGCTCATCAACACAGACAATTTCTCCGCACTCACTAAGAGGACATCCATTGCGAGGTTACGTGTATTGACTGGAAAAAACAAATTCTTTTAGCGACTCATGGTGGCCTGACAACGTAAAACCTGCCCGTTTCTACTCTAGGTGGTAGCAAGAGCACACACCCAGAAGTGTCTGCATGTCGTTGTGGCCAAAACACGACAATGATGTTCACATACCCCTGGGCACCTAGGCCGTGATATGACGCATTATAAGGAACACCAACATACTACAGGCAGCAATGTGTGTCAGGTTAAAAGAGCCACGAGCACTGAAATTTGGTTGCTACGGCCAAGCCGAGAATCTGCCTTAACTCGACCGAATTTCTACTGTCCGGCGACCTAGTGCTGCATGATCACTGACACCTGTTACATTCTTGAAGTTGGGTAGCACTCGACTGAAAAAAGGAAGTAATTTCCATGAGCACAACTTGAATTCGAGTATCGAAAACGATGAACATTTCACAAGGCGCATCCACCAAAACTCGTTTAGACAGCTTACGAAATAGAAATATGAATAATCTTTGTTTGTAAATCAACCAAAACAGCTGCGTCAGCTTAAAAAATCTCACGAAATTTGTTAAGAGGAAGGTACGTAGGCAAAATAACGGAGGCTCCCGTGGTTCAGAAAGCCCCCTGCATATTTCGATCCGAACTCTGGTATCTTTGGCTTTCCACGCAATCCTGACGATCTGCGGAGTGGGTGGCTTTGCTATTGTTTACTTCACACGGAAACCTGTTGGCATCGCAACCAGCCACAGCCATGCCGAAATCGCCCACTGAGTTAGACAGAGCTTCATTCATGGCTGCTTGGAGGACCTTGCGCAACTCCGCACGAACAATCTTACCAAGTTCTTCCTTTACAATGACTCGCACCATTTCAGCCAAACCACTTCCCGTCGCTACACCACACTGCCTCCCACTCAGGAGTGGAGCTGTCCTCAGCTTCTGGCTTGGTTCCTTGCACTGTTGTTGATTTCCTGTGTTGGTAAAATATCCAGTTCGACACTTCCCACAACTCACATCTGACAGGTTAGTGGCCCATGCGAATATCTGACGAGGGATCTTGCTCTTGTAGACTTGCAGGAACGTGGTAGTCCTAATTTTGGGCAATGTCTATGGATCCAATTTATTGGACATCGGATGACTGCCATGACAATTTCAGCTGGCATTCAAGGGTCTTTGCATCTGTTGACCATAGAAGAAAAAGGGCTGGGTTTCGATTCGTCTTATTCGGACGCATCCGCTGCCACCAATGTAGAATACCAGAGCCCTGCTAGGAAGATGGCTCGTACAACAGAACAGGCTTTATTGACCAATCACAAGCCAAAGCCACAAGTCAGGCGCCGTCCATCCGAGACCACTACGCTGGGTACACCGCTCATTATATACTGCTTCCGCGTATCTGTCTCTGGTTGACACCATATCATCGTCGAGCAACATTCGAACGCAGAGACAGAGGATTAGATGAGGTCTGCGTACTCCCGAATATCTGCGCCCTTATACGTCGCTCAAGAGTTTTTTTTATACTAACCCTAGGTATTCTACAGCAGTGACGTGCACATGCGCAAATGTGTATTGGACGACGCCGGGCTCAGCCACTCCACTGCCTTTGTGCGCTTGATTGGCCAGTAAGTAATATCTGCAGCTGAGCAGAAAAACATTAGATGAGAAGCACAAAATTACTAGCGGCGCAGTCAGTGTGAAGGGTGTAGCGACGTATAAAAGCA